GCTGAGTTGGTTTTTGTATAAGGTATGAGGTAAAGTTCTTGTTTCAATCTTTTGCATATCGCTTTCCAGTTCTGCCAGCACCATCTATTGAAGAGACTATCATATTTAGGCACTTTGTCGTAAATCAGTTGTCTGTATGTGGATGGATTAATTTCTGGATTCTCGATTCTATTCCATTGATCAATGTGTCTTTCATTGTACCAGTACCAAGCTGTTTTGACCACTGTAGCTGTGTAGTACATTTTGAAGTCAGAGTGAGAGGCTTCCAACCTAATTCTTCTTCTTAAATAGTGCTTTGCTTATCCTGGGTCTTTTTCTTTTCCATATAAAGTTTGTAATAGTTTTTTCCATCTCTTTGAAGAATGTCATTGGAATCTGGATTGGGATTGCATTGTATGTTTAAATGTTAGTCTTCCTATCCAGGAGTATGGTACATTCTTCCATTTTTGTAGCTCTCTTTTGGTTTCTTGTAGTAGTGTTTTGTAGTTTTCTTTGTATAGGTCCTTTGTTTTTCTGGTTACATTTATTCCTAGATATTTCATCTTTTGGGCAGCTATCATAAATGGTATTGCTTTCCTAATGTCTTTTTCAGTGCTGTTGTTATTGGTATAGAGGAATCCAACTGATTTTTGTATGTTGATCTTATACTCTGCCACTTTGCTGAATCTTCCAATGACGTCTAGTAGCTTTTAACTGAGTCTTTGGCTAGGTAGTATTTTTTTTTTTTTTTCAGATACCATACAGAATTTATTGTTCCAGACTCACTATTTGTGGACAGCAGGTGATCATAGAGAGCAAACACTCATATGACAAAGTGAAAGGAACAGTATTTCCCACTGCCTCTATTGCTAATGTCTTTGTTTTATTTTTTTTTAATGTTTTATTGTGGATTATGTGATAGTTTACATGGGAGAACATTAGCTTTACATTCATCCTCTTGTATATCATTTCATTGCCATGGTTACAATCCCCTCCATGTATCATCAACCAACCAAAGTGTATATACCCTGCAGGTCTGCCCCCTGGTTGTCAGCTCACAGCCTCTCTCCTTCTCTGGGTCTAGAGTCCCCAGCCGTTCCATCTCTCCACATCATCAGCTTTGCCTCCATCTCTGGCATCACTGTTTCTCTGGGTAGGGTCCTGTACTCCGTTCTCCTCCCTTGATGGTCCCAGGGACCTCTGCTCCTGGACTGCAAAGTCAACCTTTCCCCTCCTTTTGTTACCAAATGTCTACCTTTGCATTTACAACCCTCACAATCAGTCCTGGTAGCAATTATTCACAATTGTAGGCCAGGTAGTATTTTTGATTGATCAGTTTTTACTACCTGGTGTAGAATAT